GAGGAACTAAACAAATGGATCCAGTAGATTCTTCGAGCGACGGGAGACGCAGAGACCTCAGAAGAGATAATAACCTCGGCCTTCTGAATAAACATATCCAAAAGGGACCCCGTAGGCGTCTCGGCAGATATTATTGTGGAGCTCAAGGAGCTACAGACTAGAAACAGACTTTTAAAAATAGCACGAAAAAACAAGGTCTGGCCCTTGAAGATACGTGTCCTTTTTTGTATGCTGATGTCATGCCAGAGGTCCTTATCGTGAGACAAAGACTACGTGAAACAGCAAAGACATTGAGAGAAAAAGAGATCCCTTACAGATGGTTAGCGCTTGGCCACCTGGTGGTCAATATAAATAATAAAACATTCTCAGCACATAATGAGACAACGGGTAAAAAGTTAGTGGAGGCTGTTATTAAACTGAAGGAAGGAGGTGTTTGAAGGGAATAATGTGTTCTGGCATTGATATTTAGGTTATAAAGTGAACATGAAAAAATAACTGAAAGTTGGCTTTATTAGTATAGGAAACGATTTAGACTTTAAATATTATTAAGCAAGAATGTTATACAAGTGTAAAGTGATAGATTAGGGTATTGCAAGGAGGCCCCCCCAAGACCTCCAGTATAGGGTGGGAGGAGATTTCCCCTCCCGCTGTAGAGTCCTTCTCTTCAGCGCCCATAATTGGAGGCAACTCCTTCCAACTTTTTTTTTCAGGAACAGAAGAGGACAGGTAGTAGAAATTGATGCAGGAATGAACTGAAGATAAGGAATGTATTAAGGATAATTATAAGTTTTGGGGAAAGTTGTATGGGGACCTAATTAACGGGTAAGATAGGGGCATAAGAAAAGAGGAGGGATTAAATGAGATCGAAAATGATTGCGTTGATGACATAGTAACCTTGGGGGACTTTCCTCCCCCTTTTTGCTTCTTTTTTTGCTTGGTCATCACTTGTGTTAAAAAGATTGAAAATGAGTATATCAACAAGATGCTTAACGAATTGTGTGTATGTAGATTGATAGATATACTCAATTAAAATATTATTTTAAAAAAAGAAGCGACAGAACGGGATATGGAACAACTGATTGGTTGAGCATATGAAAAGGAATACGACAAGGATGTATATTGTCACCTTGCTTATTTAATTTATATGCAGAGTACATCATACAAAATGCCGGCTTGGATGAATCGCAAGCCGGAATTAAGATTGCTGAAGAAAACATCAACAACCTCAGATATGCAGACAATAGCACTCTAATGGCAGAAGGTGAAGAGGACCTAAAGAACCTCTTGCTCAGGGTAAAAGAGGAGAGTGCAAAAGTTGGCTTGAAACTCAGCATAAAAAAAATAGCATCATGGCATCTGGCCCCATCACTCCTTGGCAAATAGAAGGGGAAGTCATGGAAGCAGTGACAGACTTCATGTTCCTGGAATTCAAGCTCACTGCAAATGGTGACTGCAGCCATGAAATTAAAAGACACCTGCTC